GATCCAAGATGGTTGGTTCGGGGTGCTGTAACAGAGCTTTTGTAGCATAATGATTAACTGTACTTATCTGTTTCTTGAAAGATGTAGGTAGAAGATTTAAGCTACCATGATTTACTGTTTTTATTTCCGAGCTAAATTGTATGGACGTTATATCTCATGTTGGTAGGAACAGTACCAGTGTGTCGAATGTTTTTTAACTGGTTTTGTCATCGGCACCTAACAACTCTTATTTCATTTTTCAGAACAAGGTAAACTTTTTTTGTGAATTAAAACTGTGACTTCATGGAGCAATGTATAACATGCACCAGAGTAGGTGATGTTCAGACTGTTGTAGTATTCATCCCATTCAATCCATGCTAACCTTAATAGAGTTTACATGAGACTGTGTCTTAGTAACCATTGAATTGTTTTGTTGAAGAAGTATTAAGATATGATCCAATATGATACCAAAATATCGTAGTACCTAATCTTGAGTCCTGTGTTGACGAAGCATTCTTAACTAGAAGATCAGATCAGATCTGAGATTTTTTGGTTTGCTGAGGACAAGGTGACATTATGGAAAGTATTAAATGCAACATTAGGCAGATATGTTAACACCATTCAGTTAGTGGTTTCTACTGCATTGTCCATTACAGATCTCAAGAAGGAAAGGTCTGTCAAGATGGAACATCTCAACAAACATTGCAAGCTGGTAGACCTTTCTTTTCACTCCGATATACTCGGTCATTTTTACACACCAGAACCAAACCAAAGGCAGGTCACTACTATAGAGCTGCTGCAGCACCACAAGACCACAAACTGTCTCAGTCAAAAAAGGCTGAGATGGTTTTGCTCAGCTAATAGAGGTATGTAGTTACTCCAAAATCGGAGTGTCTGCTACCACCGCCAAAACTCCGATTTCGGAGATTTTGCTTACTATACGCGAAACCTCCAAAATCGGAGTTTTTAAACATTTATTTAAACCTCCGATTTCGAAGTTTCTGCGTACTTTTAATTAAACAAGCTCTCTATGTAGAGAGAGCAAAACTTTTCATTAACCCTCTGATTTCGGAGGTTCTGCGTACTTATACGCCAAACCTCCAAAATCGAAGTTTTCAAACTTTTATTCAAACCTGCGATTTTAATTAATAGTACGCAGAAACTCCGAAATAGGAAGATTCAATAAAAGTTTGAAAACTCCGATTTCGGAGGTTTAGCGTAAAGTACGCAGAAACACCAAAATCGGAGGTTTGAATAAAAGTTTGAAAACTCCGATTTCGGAGGTTTTGCGTACTATACGTAGAAACTCCGAAATCGGAGGGTTGTTAAATGTTTTGCTCTCTCTATATAGAGAGAGCTTGTTAAATTAATAGTACGCAGAAACTCCAAAATTGGAGGTTTCAATAAAAGTTTGAAAACTCCGATTTTGGAGGTTTGCCGTATAAGTACACAAAAACTCCAAAATCGGAGGTTTGAATAAAAGTTTGAAAACTCCGATTTTGGAGGTTTGGCGTATGTACGCAGAACCTCCGATATCGGAGGTTTGAATAAAAGTTTGAAAACTCGGAATTCGAAGGTTTTACGTAGGGCCTATAGTACGCAGAACCTCCGAAATGGGAGGGTTAATAGTACGCAAAACCTCCGAAGTCTCAGTTTTGGCGACGGGCGCAGACACTCCAAAAATGGAGTAACTACATACATGGCTAATATCAGTGTTTGCACCCTGCAGGTAGTTTGAACTCTGTCAGAGGGATCATTCTTGACAAAATTTTCAGCACGTTATTCCAACTGTAGCGGCTTTAAAATATTTTGTAGAGCACCGCATCTTCAAGAGTAGAATTTGTGGGTCAAAATTTAAGAAACATACATTGGTATCAGCTACAAAATACATTTAATTGCAGTTTTTCTAAATTGAAAAACAAGGTCTGAGTTTTTGAATTAGAATGCCGCAGCATCACTTTTGTCAGACTGCTAGTGTTTATCTACAGAGAGTGTAAATCTCGTAGAAGTGATTTGATTGAATGGATTTGTGTATCAACAAAGTTTTCATGGCACATCTCACAGAGGAATGATGCAGACATTTTTAAACGAGGGGGGGGGGGGCACCAATTTCATAAGCCTAAATGACGATGATGATGATTATTATTATTATACAGATATATGTTTAGAAATGGCATGATTGATGTTCAGTGCATGCCTTTTTACTTAGTATTTGTATGCGATTTTGTATTTCACTGTTAAAAAAAATAAAAGACGACAGTGACAAACCAGGGGGAACGTTCCCCTCCCTAAATCTGCCCATTTCCAACGTTGTGGAAACCGAGGAACAAAATGTTATGGCTATGGAAACAGTCACAGTCTTAGGCCTAAATTTGAATATACCTTTCCTCTTTTATCTCCATTTTTTAATTTCCAAAGAAGTTTGGGGAGAGGCCTGGCCCGGGACGGGTAGATGGGGCAGGAGGAAATAAGGGGCAATGGTTAAGTGTCAGTTCTCAATGATTAAGTTAGGGAGATTCAGATGGCAAAATATGGTGATATGTAGCGATTTTGTGAATACTTGTATTGAGAATAACTTTTTTTCTCAAAAGAAGTGTGTGGAGGAGCAAGATTTCTGAGAGGGGGGTTATTTCTTGTGCTCTTATAGTCTTCCCAATGCATCACTGATCCCATTATATCAGATAAAATAAAATGACTACTGTATGATATATAAATGTATAACGATTATCTATTTGCAATTTTTTTTGTTAAACTAATTTTCGGCAGCGGCCATTTTGAAATTCAAAATAGAGGCCCTAGAAGTGAATAGAAAAAACTGGCCCCCATTTTTTTTCTTAATCAGTGGATTTTTTTAGATATTTTTAGACATGTTTGCCAAGAATCCACCCATAAAAAAAATGACAAAGTTAAAAAATATGACATAAGACAACAGATAACCCAATTTGCGGTAACGTTAATTAACCCCAATTTAATAATAAAAACAATAAAACCTTTAACAAATTAAATTTTATTTTAATTTCATACCTAGTAGAGGTAAGTAAAAATAAATAGTATATTTAATGTAACTTTATTCTAAATTTATGTATCATATTATACAATACAAATTAATAGGTCAGGCCTAATTAATACATTGCCAAAAATATACCTACCGCTAATAGGAGCAATCATACATTCCATAATATGAATAATTAAGATTTTCTTTTTAGCAAGTCAATAATCTGTGGTTGTTGGCATGATTTGAGTTTCAGAGTGGAAACACATTCTTCTTAGGTCAATATCAAAATGAGGATATTTCTCTTCGACAGATGAGAGCTCCGATCCCTGGACAGACAGTATATTTCCAACTTTACTCTTTTTACATATTTGTCTATGCCTAGTCCTACTCCTCTTTTTCTTTTTCCGACCTTTAGCACATTCTCATCTGAGTTTTCAAGAAAAAATACAGTGATCCTGCCATCCTGCCAATCTCAATCGGCCGATGGCCAACAAGCTAACCACTACCCACCACCACTAATTGCATCTGCTATTTTGCTGTTATGTAAATATTCACCATTCTTGTCATGAGCCATGTTCTCTGGAGGATTATCTTTTCCGCTTAACCACCATTCGTAATGTCTTTTTCATTCAAAAAGTGCCTCTTGAATTTAATAATTTCCCATAAGAACCCCTCGATTTTCATCTATTTCCATAAGCGACCCCTCAATTTCCATAAGCGCCCGTTTAAATAAACGCCCCGTTTGAATAAGCGCCCCTCAGAAAGTGCAAAAAAAATATTTTAAGCGCCCGGGCGCTAATTCGCGCGAGTATGGTACTGTTGGAATGGCATTCAGCCAACCATTAACTTACCCATACAGATAATGTAGTTGTATACACCTTAGCCAATCGGTAATGACTAATAAATGGCACTTGGGGTCAAAGGGTCATTGTTTATTTTGACATACTAGAAGATGATAAATGGCCTTGGTAGACAGTCTGGCGCCTACGAAAGGATGTGTATAGGTTTCCCTTAATGTTAAAAGTAAACAGATCATCATTGATTGTTAAAATCTAATTAAAATTATAGTTTACCAGTAATTGGTTAATTACCGTTGATTGGTACATCTACCTTGTTCTGATCGTTCTAGGCCTAGCCTAGGCAGTGTAGGGTCCTTTCGGCCCCGGGTTAGTGAATTGTAAATAGCCTATAATTTGGTACAGTAGTAAGGTCCCATCATGCACCTCTACCGGATTTACCCTTTCAGCCATCTTTAACTGCTAAACGATAAAAAAAACGATTACCAATACAGCAACCTTTCTGGACCGCAAGCGTACTAGCTAATGTATTTAGTACCGTTATTGTCTGTTTGTAACTGTCTAACATTGCAAAAAAAAAAAGAGAAAAAAAACTAGCTGCAGCTTGAGTTACGGCTAGCGAATGCAAAGGTAGGCTACAAATTTAAACACGGTGGCTAGTGGAGCACTACCGGTCCGGTAAAAAACGATGTTAAAAAGTCATGATTTTTCCGTCAATTAATGTAAAATATTGATTGATAATCTAACTTGTTTGAGTTTTTAATACTAGGTTTTGAATTCCAGGCGTTTTAATGATTTATCAGTACAGTATGCTTTGAAATATTAGTGTATTCATAATATAGATGATGCATATTATTGCGACGACGATGACGGACATCGAGAACGTTTGTAAAAATAGGCATTTTGGAAGTAGTTGTCAGTGCTTTATGCTATTGTTCGTGCCAGCGATCACTCTTTTCGTGATTTTGATTACCAGGGCTAAAATATAGGCTAAGGTATAATAATATAAAATAATATTTCAAAACCGTGAGTCCACCACCACCTCAGCCCCAACCATGGTGGTGCTGAGAAAATTAGAGGAATAGTACCTTTAGATGGCAAAAAATAAAACTTTTGTATAGAAAAATCCATTATCATCACATCACCATTATGTGTCTAATTGAAGCGTCAGCAAATTTCTTATGATCTTTTAACAGGGATTTTCGGCAACTACAGAGATCTAATTTAATATGACTGATTGTAACATAGTACCCTACAGTTGCATGGCACCTAAGGCGTTCACCCCACTTGTTCCGCAGAGCATACCACCTGTAGTAGTGTTGCAATCTGTGACTAACTGTATGTACATTCCGGAGGTTGTATTTTCCTACTATTCCTCCAGGAATTTGCCACCACTACAGTAAAGCATGTGTTCCCAAATTATGATGACCAACTAATTAAATGAGTCATCAATCCCTGTTTCCTGTCCCTATGTATATATGTACCTGTGTTTAGTTAGGAAATCAGTTCGAGTATTGATTTTAGGGACAGTTACATCAGTCCTAATCAGTGTACTCCTCAACATTGTTTTTATATTAAAGCATATTTGCAACTATTTTCCTTTTATCTCCTGCTACCTTATTACATTGCCTTGGCTCTCGACACGCTACAGATACAGTGATGTACCATAGAAAATAAAACTAGAGAAACACTTTTTTTAATGTATGTTAATTTACTTGACCTACCTACACTAAAAGCCGTGAGGCCACATCCACCTCCTTAAATTTGTTCACCTCATATATGACACCCTTATATATATAGTAAAATTCATCATCATCGGTCTAATTAATCGCTGTGATGTACCATAGAAAATAAAACTTGTCTTTGATGTCTTTATTTTACTTTACCTTCTTCATGTGCCGAAAAACAATCTTATTTTTGCACGCTTTTTCTCATACTTCTCCAATTATAATAAAGGCACGCGCACTCGAGTCGTGTCTTATAGGTAATTCAGATGTTTGTGGGCAGAAATACTCGTATGTTGCTATAAAATAAGATGTACTGCTTTACAGCGCTCTTTCGATAAAACCTAGGTCATTTATGCATTTAACAATTTTCATGCATCTTCTTGACTTTCGAAATTGCATTACGGACGGAACGTGAAAAGCCAATCCCCTTCCCTTAAAAGTATGTGGGGGAGTGTCCCCTGTCCCACGATCTGCGCCCATGGGTGCGTAAGAGTCCACACCACCTCAGCCCCAACATGGAGGCGGCTGAGGTGCGAAAATTCTGAGAATATGGACCTCTCTGGGTGCCCGGAATTTGAAGCACTCTCAAACCTTATCTTACCAATAATTCATGTCAGCAATATATACAATTATTTTTCTTCATACAATTTAGAGGGGTGCATTCAGGGGTGGCGCCAGGATTTGCCAGACGCGGGGGCCGAGGTCCCCGACGAGGGGTCAGATTTCCCCAACGAAAGCAAAGTGGGCGTGGTCGAGCTTCGATTCGTAATGAACCCTATTTGGACACTAGACTTAGCCTATGGGACTTTGCCGGACAAGACATATACTATAATACCTGTCTCTTATACACATCTAGATGTGTATAAGAGACAGAGTCTTTACTGTATAATGTTTTTGATGTTTTGATATTTTTTTCTAGGGAGCTTTTATCTGGCTCTCGTTGTCATGGAAACGTATACGGAAGTCAGGAAAATCTACTGGGTAAGATAGCCTACTCAAGGGCATTAGCCAAATATTATTCAAATAAATTACCGGTACGTCACCCCAGGTATTGTGCCGGTTCTACAAAATTCATAATAAAGTGGAGTGAATTATAATGATTGTTGTACCGGGGAAAATTTATACGCAAACCAGGTGCGGTTTGAATTCTTTGAATTTTGTCAGAATGCTTTCTACTTCTGGAGCCTTAAAGTGCAATAGGCCTACCGTAATCAATATGAGGAAGTATTAATATTTTGCATCCTCGTTCTCTCAAAGAGACGGTTTGTAATTACGAATTTCGACCAAAGTCTTCCACTTAAGATATGTCAAGCTCTTAAACTATTGTCAAGCCCTTGACCTTTATCATATTTGTGTATTTATTGAGGTTTGCTGTGTATCAACGTAAAGTCAATAAAGAGACGGTTTAACATTAGAACTGGGCATATATTAACTTGCAAGCTCAGTGAAGCATTTTAGTAAGAAAGTAGTATTTGAAAAGAAAAAACAGTTTTACGTCAAGATGAATGAAAAACATTCAAGCTATCTACGTGGCTTCCACTCATTTGAACGTAGTTCTAATTTGCGAGTACTTGCAGATGATAAGGAGATTGAAACAGCCTATGAACAAGCAACAGTAAGAGGAAGACTTCCTTTTAACAGATCAAAAATCTTATTTTTAGGAGATCATGGCGTAGGAAAGACATCGACATGTAGACGCTTGCAAGGAATGGATTTTCGACAGGACGAACCTAGCACCACAGGAATTGAAACAAATATCGTCAAAGCGAAAGTTATTGATGTTAACTGTAAGTGGCGGGAAGTATCAAATACACCACTAGAAGACTTTGAAAGTTCAGCATCATGGTGGGCAGTATCACACGTGCGCAAACGTAATTTTAAGGAAACTACAAAGCCCGGTAGCACGTCAGAAGGCCATCCAAAACTGTCTGCAGTAAGCCTAAAGCTCACTGAAGATATATTGTATCAGACAATGCAGAATATTCCCATCGTAATTACATTTTTATTCGGTGGGTTTACTTTCGGATTTGGACTAGTTGTATGGATAAATATTCTTTGCTTGATGTATATACTCGATGTTCATACTGCGTACCGCTTCGGTTGCGGTTACACTATTGGAATGTTACTGATAGACAGTGCAGTGGGAATAGATTTGGGAGCCACTGAACTGACCAAAGCAGCCATTGTCATGACTTTGTGTATACTAGTTGGCTTACTTGCTGGCGTTCTTATGGGCTCAGGTGGTAGAACTGGAGTATGCATAGCATTTTGTATCATGGTACATCCAAAACAGAAAACATTTACCATTGATACTGTTACAGAAAAACTTTTATTTATCTACAGCAAAGTATATTATAATTTGATAATTGGTATCATTGCAATTATTAGTATATTAATGTTTAGGTATATTCCCTCTAAGGTATTATCAATGAGTCGAAGGAACTGTGTACTTGTATTATTAAGTATCATTTCTTTCATCACAGTCGTGGGCTTTCTTGTAGGACCGTATGTCTTAAGCCTATTTTATACCTTTTCATGTACTGCAGTACTTGTGAGTTTTATATCAGCTGGAGTTCTTTTAGGAAGAAAACTTGTTGCTTACGGCTATATCCCTCAAATGTACATTATCAAGAAAGCTATTGGTTTTGTAGCTGGTATTTTTATAGCCGCTTCGTGCGGGTGGGAACTAGCAGATTTAAAAACTCTCAGCTTAGACAAAAACAGATACTTCTTGGTCCCACGCTATTCATTCAGCTTATTGCTTTCTATAGCGCCAATCATTGCATTTATTGTCTACGAGTGGTTTGCATACATGAAAGTAAAAAATACAACCTCCATACCGATAAAGCATATCCAAAAATCATTGGAAGCAGGTGTTCGTAATGAACCCTATTTGGACACTAGACTTAGCCTATGGGACTTTGCCGGACAAGACATATACTATAATACTCACCATCTTTTCATGCCAAAGCAGGGTGTGTATCTCATTGTATTTAACGCCGTTGAAGCGGCTGTGCATCCTCGCAAACAGATGAATCGGCTACAATTTTGGTTGCAATCAGTTTCTATGCATGGAGATATTAAAAACGTTATAGTGTTTCTTGTAGGAACAAGACGAGAAAGTGTTATTGACATAAATGCTCTTTTGAATTTCACTGAACTTGCAAAAGCACATCTGTACAAACCTTTTTCTAGGTTACTTGCGTTTCATCCTTCGGGTAACTTTTTCTTTTTTATTGAAAATTCGTTATGTGTAGACCAAGAGCGTAACATCTTACGAACAGTTATTTATAAAGAGATTACAAAATTGGATTTTTTCAGGAGAATCATTCGGTAAAATACCTTTTATTCCATGACACTTTGAACAAATTTCGCTTACAAAATTACATTATCGCAAGTTTAGTAGAGATCTTAGAGGAAGTCAAATCAACGTGCAATATCATTTCTCAGAATGAGTTGTGCGAATTCTTAAACTTCTTTGACAGATCTGGTGATGTCATATACAATGAACGTGATGAGGCACTCCGACATTACGTTATCTGTGACCCTCAAATGCTAATAGACATTCTGACAATCTTAGTGAATGTGCCTGAACCTCACCAAAGAAATCGGACAGTATCTGACTTATGGCAGAATTTGGAAGACACTGGCATTGTTAACAGTAGACTACTGGAGCACATTTGTAGACAGAAAAACATTTGGCGACATTACCCTTACATCATTCGTTTCTTAGTGGGAACACATCTACTTTTCCCGCTTAATGTTATTGATCCCGTTGACCAAGTCGGCACATTTTTTCTGTCGTGTCGACTACCAGAGAAGAATTTAATATCTACTATACAGAACAGCGGTCAAGAAATTTTTTATTTCGACTTCGGTGAAATTCTTCAAGAATTTATATTTCTACGTCTCATCGCTAAATGTTGTGAGGTGTTTTACTGGGATGAGATCTTTTATAATTCAGCAAGTTTTAGGACAAGTAAATCGTGTCTTTTCTTCATCAGTACAGAGGTAATTTCTGGAAACATTAATTCATACGACAGAAATCTTATCAAAGTTGAAATTATAAGTGAAGACAAAACTCAGACTATGTGCGTTCTACAGAAAATGGTTCATTTTATTGAAGAAATAATAAATCGGGATTTCAACCTGGACTACTTTAGAAAACAGTATATTTATGGGCCTGTGTGCGAGAGTTGTAGTTCCTTAGATGGAACAATGTGTTTGGTGAACCTCATTACTCATGGAAACGATATATCTACACTGGATGGCTATAAACCAGATATTTACCATACGGTCACAATTGATCTAAAGGTATGATCTAACTTTAGGCTTGTGATAGTAGTTTGCCATAAATAACCTTTATTAATTTAATATTTGTATATTATTATTGTTAATTTTATTATTGTTATTAATATTATTTTTTTATTAATATTACTATATTTTCAATATTATTATTATTATTATTATTATTATTATTATTATTATTATCATTATTATATACTTGTATATTATTATTGTTAATTTTATTATTGTTATTAATATTATTTTTTTATTAATATTACTATATTTTCAATATTATTATTATTATTATTATTATTATATTATTATTATTATTATTATTATTATTATTATTATTATTATTATTATCATTATTATCATCTCCGACAGGAGATATATATTTTTAGTCGTGTAAGTTTGTGTGTGCGCATGTGTGTGTGTGTCATGTTTTGGTGTTTTTTTTTTGTGTACGACATATCTCAAGACACAACTGAAAATTACTTGGAGTGTTAGGTATAACCCAATGAAGAACTGATTAAATTTTGGTGACTGTCCGGAGTAGTGTGTGGAAGTGAGACCATTTAAAGGGATTTTTAGAGCAAACGTCCTAGAAAGATATCTCAAAAAATAATCAACTGATATGAATGAAACTTTCATGAAAACTTAACCAAGTTACAAGGAAGAAATTATCAAGGGTTGGTCACGATCCACAAAAGGGGGTGATCTTGAGTGTCATTTAAATTTATAAGTTCGTGTGTGTTTCATGTGTTCAAAATATCTCAAAACAGCTGCACAGGTCTTAAATGGACGTTACAGGGATTGTCAGGTATGACCCAAGGATGAGGTGAGGGAGTTGATATGAGGACCATTCAAAGGAAAACGTCCCAACTCAGATATTTCAAAAACTAATCAAGTGATATGAATGAAATTTTTTCGAAACTTTAACCAAGTTACAAGAAAGAAATTAATTATGAAGTGTTTGTGATTATTTATAGCTCAAAAAATTGTTTTTGCCATCTATGTGTATCGTCAGTCATCCAGGTTGGTTAGGCTTTTTTTTACTTGACTTACAATCCAGGACGGGTCACAGTCGTCCTGGGTTGAAAGTGAATGGGTCTAATGATGTTTATGATAGTAAGCATGTATATATGACATTTTGTATTGTGCATGACATAATACGTTGTATACCAGTAAATAGCAGTAACTAAGTGGTTTTTTTTGTTTACAGTTGAGTATCACGTGCTGTCGAATAATAGACAACCGGATCTGAGGTTATTATTTAGCTACAAAAAACGGCAATAAAAATTGCAATGTCCAACAAACTCCTACACTAAGGCGACTTCAAGATGGACCACAATAGTAAAAAAAATAGCAATTTTCAAGATAATTTTATATGGAATGGCTGTGAACGTACTGAATCTGCCATCTGAAACTTTTAGGCCCAATCTTCCTTTAGTCTCCGGGAATGTATTTATAAACGCAACCAGCTTCAACATAGATTCATTACTAGGAAAACATTGAAGAACCTTGACAACGCCACCATCAAGTTAAATGGATAACTGTTAATTTTCTGTCAACTTGATTAATATAAAATATAAAAGGTACAGATATCCATTACTAAAAGTTATTGAATCATCAAGGCCTATTACTAGAATGAGAGTATACCTAATCTTGGGTTCTTTAATCCTAACTCTATATTCGAGAACCAATTTTGAAAGAGGCAGAACTTAAGGTAGACCTACTCTTTTGTTTCGTATTGATTCCACTAAACAGTCAATCAATGTTGATCTTGAGCTTCTGTTTGGAGTCTGGGGTAGGCCTATATTGATATTGGGTCGTGAGTATTGAATGTTGGGTAAAATGAAAATGGTAAAAAGTTTGAGTAAGTGATTGTTAAAAAAAACCTGTAGAATAAGTACCATACAACCATGTAGTGATCATGCCAGGAAAATATGGAGAATCAACTTTTTTATTTTTTATTCTTGCAATTTTGCATACAAATGACAAATCAATAAAAGTAGACACAATGAAACACGCAAAGAATAATAACATTACATACATAATAATTATAAAAACAATGCAAAGTTGAAAACGTTATATAAATTAAGAAATTGTAAATAGTAAATACTGTATACGTAAAAAATACATATTTAGTCAGAAAACATCTGAAACAAATGATAAAGAGAAACCAAAGGAGGGCGGCTCGTATTGTAACAAACAATTTTGAATCTATTAATGTAATATCATTCAGGCCTTGTCATGGCAAACATTCGAATAAAGAAAAGCGTTTTCGTTGGCATGATTAATTTCAGTGCATCTATGGTCTTACGCCACAGAGACCTGTTGAAATGATTAGTGATAAACATGAATTCCTCATTCAAAATTGTAGGAGCCAAAATGTAGAACAACTTGCCTGTAAATCTATAATTACTAGTCAATTAACTCCTTTAAAGCCAGGCACCGAATGAAAAAAGGTTTGATCATGGAGGTTTTTCTGAAGACACAAAGAGCATGTTTGACGAAAACTTGGTTGCTGATAATGAGATACAGATATTTAAATATTTAAAAACTGTGGGGAAAAGGTGGAAAAGGGGTTTTTAAATACCTCCCTAGTTTTTCGTCAAATTAAGCTATTTATGTCTTCGAAGAATCAGTTGTACAACACATCAACATTTTTTTCCAGAACCTGGCTTCAACACTAACTACAAATGTAATTTCTTTTCAATTTTATCTTTACATTTTATTGTAAATAAATTTTTGCTAACCTAATTCTCAGGACCACTCTGCAAAACAGGTACATTGCCAATACCTGATTTGGTCATCCTGTTGTAATATATAGGCTTACAAATATGTTGTAGGCCCTATATATTGTTCAAAAGCGTGCAATTCTTCGCTATCGAATGTCCAGTCCTGTAAGGCAGGGGCGCTGCTCAGTACAGCCTTAACATCGGCACTGGTTCTAGCCGCTTCTCGCCCAGTGGTTGGACTGGTTGAAAGGGGTGGCACCAGCGGGGTGAGGAGGGGTGTTTTCCCACCCGTCAGACAGGTCTGTTCCCCCTGTCATCCGACGAACGACTAGGTCGTCTGGCCAAAAAATTAAAAAAACAATAATAATTTGCCAATTCAAATAACGCTATTTTTTTTCTTTCTTTTTTTGGCCAATCCCAAATATTCTAAAAGCACATTTTGGACCAAATTAGGCCATAAAAAAGCATGAACCCTTACAGGGATTTTTTTTATTCCGGGCCGTCAACTTTTTTTGGACCCCTCCATTGGACACGTCAAACCCCATGTGGGCAAATTTCTGACCCCACCGCTGCTGGTAGAACCAAGTCTTTTCGGATGAGGACTTAAAATAAAGGTCCAGTTCTATCTCGTCTATCTAGCTCTTGTGAACTTTAAAGAACCCATTTCATTTTTCGAAAGAGAAGGGGTTACCCCGATGCTATCGTTCATTTTAGTCCCTGATTTTGTAGAATGATGTGAACATGTAGCTACTATAAGCGTCTCTTTACGGCGGCTAGGTAGTCACAGACCACGCCTACGCAATTCAGCACGACAACGCTGCGAATTATGGCCATTCTCCTATCTCTATCTCACACATACCGTACTGCTCCTTTATAACTTTAATTATTTAATTCTTAAGTATAGGCCTACCGTACTCAAGGATACTGTAGGCCTATGTTTATTTATGTATTAAGATATTGTTTCGGCAGTTCACTACGTAATTTGTTTTTGCAAGTTACTTCAGTTCATTGATGCACAAGACAGATTCAGCAGTTTTATTTTCCCAAGGTTATAAATTCAGTCAAGTTATAATATTTTATTGGCCCTTCAATATGCAATACAGTACCAATAGTATAGTATGTATACCAATGCTGTTTTAATTCCGAACGGTCAGGTGGTAATCCACAATGGCAAGGGCTGTGAGATGGACGGATCAGTACACTAGGGTAACCCCCTACTCGTCTCGAAAGATGTACTGGGTTCTTTATAGTGCACGTGCCAAAAGTGTACATTGGGCCTACGGTTTATAGTCCTTATCCGAGAAGAATTGTTCCACCTCCAGAAACATAAGCGAGCGTGCCGTTCCAACCAGCACCGATATTATGGCTGTAGGGTGGTGCGCCCCTGCTTTAACTGCTCGGCCATTTGACTCGCCTGAAAAAAATAATAAAAACACTTTCAGTGACTGGAAGTGTTTCTCATTTTTACGCTGTAAAATTATGGGTAAACTATGTTTAGATACATTAATTTCTATGTGAAAAATTGATAATTTGTATGTTATTTACGGGGCGCCAAACGACACACTACCTGTTCTGTCACACAAAACCATGTTTGTAAGGGACAAATCATGTTTTGTAATATACCAAAGTTATTCTGTCTTTACAAAACATGTTTTGTCTCGACAAACATGGTTTTGTCATTTACAAAACATGTTTTGTCGAGACAAAACATGTTTCGTCAAGACAAACATGGTTTTGTCATTTACAAAACATTTTTTGTCCCGACAAAACCTGTTTTGTCGAGACAAACATGGTTTTGTCCTCACTTAACATGTTTTGTCGAGACAAACATGGTTTTGTCAATTACAAAACATGTTTTTGTCAAGAAAAACATGGTTTTGTCATTTGCAAAACATGTTTTGTCCTCACAAAACATGTTTTGTCGAGACAAAACATGTTTTGTAGAAACATGGTTTTGTTATTTACAAAACATGTTTTGTCTCGACAAACATGGTTTTGTCATTGCAAAATAAGTTTTGTCTCGACAAAACCTGTTTTGCGAGGATAAAACATGTTTTGTGAGGACAAAACATGTGTTTTAAATGACAAAACCATGTTTGTCCTCACAAAATATGTTTTGTAAAAGACAAAACACTGTTTGTCTGTACAGAACATGTTTTGTAATAGACAAAACCATATTTGTCTGTACAAAACATGTTTTGTAAATGACAAAACCATGTTTGTCTCGACAAAAAACATGTTTTGTCCTTTACAAAATATGTTTTGTACAGACAAACATGGTTTTGTCTTCACAAAACATGTTTTGTATAAAGGTTCCAAGTAGGCCTATAGCCTACGGTTATCAGTCCATGTCGTTCTCAGCAGGCCAGAACTATACTAACTGTTTTAATTCAAGTAGGTAGCCAAAAGCGAGCTACAGCTTGTTCTAGTCGAGACTTCCGCATCTTCAATTTTGAAAATTTACCAAGATTGATTAATATGCATGAAGTTAGCCAATCACGTGATTTACAAAATCAGTCATGCATACGATATCCCACATCAAATCTGATGTGGGAAATTGCACGCATGAATCGTTTGCCCAGGCCCTAATTCGAAAAAAAAGAAATCGAGTATGGGACGCCAATTAAATTAGGTATGGCGCGCACTAAGTGCAATAAAGAGTGAGTAACCGAAAATTAGGGCCTGAACCCAGGCTAGCCTAGTACATGTGTTACTTTGTATAAGTATACAATCTTGTCAATTTTAACCATCAACCCTGGCGATTTTCTGTTTTGCGTATTTTTATATAAGATTCTAATCTATACCATACAACCTTCACCCTGATTTTTAAGTCGTTAGGCCTACTCTATGCATGCTATGTTATCCTGGGCATCCAATAGAAAGCTCAATATTGCAAAAAAAAACAAAAAAAAACAGGAATATTTAGTCATTAAAATTGCATACGAATCAAAGAACAATATCGGGAATATATACAACTTTTGCTGTTTTAATTACATCTGTGGATTTCATATTATAATAAATGAATTATTTTTGCATTGCAAATTATTGTCATAAAATTGTTATAATTCAACTGTAACTCATTCATAGGTCAATTAAAAAACAATCTATGACATCATTGTACGAAAACATGCCAAAAATTCCTAGTAAGGGGACAAATTTCACGTTTGTTGTTAGTGTTTACCCCTATTTAGGGGACACCCTGTATTAAGGGACACTTTTGTCACCCCGAAGGTGTTTCCTTAATAGGGGTTCTACTGTTACTTAATTATGAATTTTAAAGAAAAAATCATAAAAATGTATGTGTTACTGCAAAATGAGCAAGCTAGTTTAAAAGTTTATGACATTTTCAAGGGACAATACATCTTTGATAGCGAATTGGCTGTTTTGTGGCAGAAGAGTGACTTAGGACATAGGTGGATTCAGTCGAGGGGGAGGAGGCAACCGGACAGGGGTCCCCATTGTGAACGTAGGGTCTGTCTCCATAGGAGTTAATAGTACTGCAGTAATAAAACACAGATTTATAAAACGTGGGGAAATTACCTCGGATTTTAGGCTTTTCTACACCTTTGTACTGTTTGTTTTTTGCATTAGTTGAAATGTTGGGTTAAATTAAAAATACCCGTTACATTAAACATAGGCCTATTCTTTCTTTTATAAAATGTGTAAAATCTTCACTGGACTGTTCGAAATGGAGTGGCTTAGCTAGGAGGCAGATTAGCGTACTCACACATAAAAACAAGAAGGAAATATTATCAGCCTATGACGAGTCCTGTCATAGATTGTAATTGTAATATTTAGCTAAACAACCAACTTACTCAATCATTAAATGAATTAATCAATCAATCAGTATAATATGTAAATAACACCAGCGAAGAGAGTTTTCTGAAATACACACCCACAATGGGCAAAAATAAAACCACTTCTGTGGGTTGATTTTACTGAATATACTACGAAAAACAATGCTTTTAGAAATTAGTTTCAAAGAGGTCCATGATTGTTTATTGTTTGTTCCTGACAAACCATTAAAATGGCAGATTATCATTGGTTTTATTTATTTATATATTTTATAGTTATTTTATTTTAACGGGCACTACATACATTTCTTAAACTTTATTGTTCTATTCCTTTTTATTTGGTTATATTTGTAATATTATTATGTTAACATTGTGACTTGGAATAAAATATTTTGAATTGAATTGAATTGTAAATTGATTCTTTTTCGCACACTTTCCATCACATTTTGTTCAATTAATTGTCAAAAAGGTACCCCTGCTTACATTTGTCTACTTATCTCTTGGCCACAATATCGCCATGGCTACAATCTTCGATCATCTGGTTCCATTTGCCTTCTCATACCTCGGTTAATAAGAAAGCTGGTGATAGGGCCTTTTCAGTCGTTTTACCTAGGCTTTGGAATAGTCTCCCCAGCGGTTTACGACATGATTTTTGTTATCATGGTGTTCGTCGGCTTCTCAAGAACATTTGTTACAAGTAGATCTCGCTAAACTGTCCAAATTTTCTGTTTTGTTGTAATTTCTTATGCTATTGTTGATCGCTAATTTTTATCTTTTTGTTATTTTTTATTTTTATTGCTACTTGTATCCCTTGGCAAAATGCGTGATATAAATTCTTGTATTATTATTTATTATTTATTATTATTATTATTATTATTATTATTATTATTATTATTATTATTATTATTATCACTGCTTCTTGTCTGAGAGGGATTAGAATGAAATGTTTTTGTAAAAAAGGTTAGATTATGTTCGGTTGATTTCAAGCATAAATGTTAATGTTCCATTGAGGGAAAGGTCTATAGCCAACACCTATAGTTTGTGAAAAATCGTGAATAACACATGAGAAAACTGTTAACAGTTAATTTGGACATAAGAGGTGCATTATCATGTCGGATTCAGATTTCCTCGTTTGATAATAATTACTAAATAATTTAGAACAAAGAAATAACACGAAGGCACAGAAAAAGTATATGTAAACGTCAAAGCATTATTTATAATATAAAAATGCATACTCTACATTGAATTTCGAAGCATTCCTTATGTAACATGTGAGTGGATGCGATCTACAACCTTTGAATTTGACTAGTCGTCGAGAAAATGGTACTCTATTTCTTTTTTTTTTTATTCTCCTCTAGTGTATAACTAAAATTTATGCCATCAAATGAATAGGTTTATAATACTTGGAGCTGTCTCTTATACACATCTAGATGTGTATAAGAGACAGTATATACCCCACTTATACCTTATTTTACACATTACAAATTTTACATTTTTTTTTAATAACATGTGCATTTCTTCATTTTTCTTTTTTTCTTTTTTTTTTTTGGCGGAAATGAGGGTTTGAGAAAAAAATCTTTTAAGGTCCCAGGTTTAATGTAGAAAAGATTTCTTTTCTTAAAGAATTATCAACTTTTTGAACTCTTTCCTCGAAGATGTTGTTTTCGCTCTCTCGGTGAACTGGTTCAAGTCAAGATTAGATCGATGGGGTTATAAAGGCTACTGAGGGCTAATCCTTTCCCACTATCATCAAATATTAAGTAATTATCACGTAAGCACTGCTGCAGGCTCCTACCTAGTCTAGCTTGGGCCTAGTGGTAGGCTAGGCTAGAGAAAATTAATCAACAACAAACAGAAAAACTGTAGCAACTGCAATTTTATTTAAATTGGTAGTCGTTCTTGTTCCATAGGCACACACGTGTATTTTTTAGATTGTGTAGCGGTTACAGTGTTTTATTTCCTGAGCAGTTGGCATCATACCGGGTGAGACGCGAAATGCAACTCAACACCTATCTAACGAAACAAATGATGAAATCAATGTTTGTTTCCATCACTGTTGTAGAGTAAAAATTGAATATTTTTGCTGAAATGGGGGGAAATGGTTTTTGGTACTTTTACATGGGCGACAGACAGGGGTGGCGCAAATATTTGCCCGACGTTAGGCGGGGAAAGTCTGATGTTCCCAACTGGGGCAGCAAAGTGGCCTTGGTATGGAGTCACTGAAAAATATTTCGAAAATGGTTCAGGTGGCAGCCCCCCAAAAGTATGACAATTTTGTGGTTTTAAAGGCTCATTAAATCGATTTTAGAGATCCCCGACTACTATTAAATTACGCACGTTTTATTCTAATTAAACAAGTTTTGTGTCCAATCTGCAGTTTTATTTCCCACCATTTACTGTATAGGCAAATAGACATAATATTTTGTAGGCCTACCTCCAGCGGCGTAACTAGCCCCTAGTTGTAAAAATTGTCACTCGAACGCCGACATCATCATGGTGCAAGCCACAGTGGAACAAATCGTCACCATGCATGCATTAAATCGTGACCAATAGACTGACCTTTCTTTTCCCTCTAATGTAAGGACTAATGTAAAGACTTTACCGCTGATGTTTGCTGGGGCAGGGGTGGATTTGGGGGTAGGGTGGGGATGACTGGGCCGTAAAGGTAAACAAAAAAATTTAAAAAATAAAGAAAGAAAAAAAAAAAAATGATCGCCCAAAACGCCTCAGATGTTATTTGTGGGCGTCTAGAAAACAAAAATTTCGCGGACCCCTTG